TTCAGCTATACACATATGTGTAGGAGTAAGCTGTCTTCCATGAGACTTCTATAATATACACATCCTTTAAGAAGCAACATGCACAGTCTTCTTTAAATATTCATCAAAACAAGGCAACAGAACATCCCAGTGTGTCAGAGCATGGCAATGGAGACAGACTGTTTGGGTTCCTATCTGGACYCTTTAACACTGCCCATGTGACCTTAAGCAAGTTACCTAACTTCTCTGTCATTTGGTATATGTCAAAAGAATGACAATATTACCCACCTCAGAGGATAGTTCTGAGAATCTGTACATGTAAAGTTCTTAAAATAATGCCTAACACAAGTAGATATTCAATACCAGTTTTTATCATTTTAGGTTAGAAAATAAAATTCATTTGCTAAAAAAAATCCTACCAAAAAATTTAATCTAAAGTACATTTAAAATCATTCAGAAGTATTATGAGTAAAACTAGTAACAGTCTTTTCAGGTTTACACTCAGTCCCTACTCTATACTCCATACTCTGAACACCAGCACTATACTATGTCTGGAGATAAAGTGCTCCTATACCACTAATCTCATATGCTTTACAGATTTTGGCTCTTACTGTACTAAAATATGTGTTTACATACATTTGCAGGTAACTTCAGCAGCCATACTGTTATTGGCATGGAATAGACTGTTATTGTCTGTTCGAATAAACTATCCCACTTATTAATTAGACAAGGGTGGTCTTTAAGTATATAATTTTCTTTACTGAAATGTATAGGTAAAGTTATCTCTGAATTTCTTCAGACTGTCTTCCAACTAAAGCAACTGTAATACAAAAATACCACATTAGGGAGGAGGCTTTGCTGTTCTTTATATGATCTGTTCTAATTCATCTCCAAAAAAATGGAAACCAATATAGTATAGTATTTGCACAATTCAAGTTAACTGATTAACTGAACACCACAAACCTCCTGGGGGTTCAAACAAAAAGGACTGTATTTTTCCTAATTTGTTGGCCTCAGCAGAAATCTCTTAAAAATAAATAAAATAAATTCTAGAATTTTCAGCTATTAAAAGTCTACCCATCAAAATGCCAATCATGAGCCCAAATCAGGTCCTTCCTTAGGGCATCATCTCCTAGGGATATGCAGGGCCATGGGAACATGAGGAGGGGTGAGTCCTTATAGCATCAGAACCAAGAGCACAGGCCTATCCAAGTCTCTYTGTGCCTTTTGCTGATTTCATCCAATTTTCTTTTTCCTGCTAGGTAGGTACAGATCACAGCACTAAATACACATCTAAAACATTTTTTGTTGCTTGCCAAGGAGAAGACAGTTAACAACAACTCTGGCTTTAGAAGATCTGCTCACGAGAATGTGGTTGGGGAATGGTGAGTGCTTAGTTTTAAGCAGATTTCTGGCCTTTCACAAGGTCTGAAGCCTCTGGTTTAGTCATAGAAGACAGCAAGATAAAATTAACTGCCCACGGTTACGTCTTTCTTTTGTTGGTCCCTGCTAACTCTACAAAAGAGTCCATGACTTTTCTCAGGGGAATGCCATAGGAAAGGGTGATATACAAAATATTTAACAGGGGGACATGCCAATTATCATAAGGAATGTGGCTGTAGGGCTGGAAGATCCCTTCCTGTGTCCTGCAGTTGGTGGAAGAATCAGGGGAGCTTAGGGATGCTGGCCAAGTTGTGGCAAGGGTACTCAGGGGATTGAGTCACAAGCTTTTTACCAGTAGTAGAAAAAACACCTGTATGTCATCTCCTTAAACTCAACACAAACCAGCTGAATGCCACCCCTGCCACAGGGTGTGCATCAGAGTACCCCCAGCAAGGGCATCTTAATTATATTTTTCCCTCTTGTGAAAGACTGTTCCAGATCTGTTCTCTATGAATTCCACCCCATTGGCCTCCAGTGGCCTCTTGTCTGATCAAAACAATCTATTTTCTATGTACTCACTTGACCCTTGGGAAACACATCTTTACAATGCTAAAACTAAGAATGTAGCAGGCCATTCCAAGTTTCTCACTGCTGCCAACTTCCTTTGGTCTCTTTTTGCCTGGCAGATGCCATAGCAAATTTATGTCTAAAACATTTCTTGCTTTTTGTAAAGAACGAGAAGATACTTCTTGAATGTTTCTCCCTCAATCTTTAATAGTGGTTCTCCTGGATCCCCTACAGGTCCCTTGATGGGGCAGGGGTAAAGAACAGAAGTTACTTCTATCCTTTCCTCCCAAGGAAAGAGAAAAGCAAGATATGCTCCAGATGACCACAACACCCATGATGTCTCCTCACCTAGAATGACTTAAGGGTTGTAGTGGGGATGAGAGGCCTCTCAAAGTGTAAGGGATACTAACTGGATTATAAACCCCATGAGACAGGTCCAGTCAAAATCGGAAGGTATTTCTTGATGAATTTCCCCTTGGAATATAAAAATTTAAAGCTGTCTCCTCAGGTATTCCAGGTAGCATGAGGTCTACTCAACAGGAAAAATCCTCTTTAATATCTTATTATACTTACTTTTTGTGCTAAGAGGCACCAGAACAATTAAATATTCTATTTTGCTAAAAAAATGGGATAAAAATTAAGGATACATTTATCTACTAGTGATTATTTGACAATGCTGATTAATCCATTGTACATATATCTATGTTTAATCAGAAGGTGGAAAGGCTTTAGGATGTCATTCTAAAATGTACTCTTGGTATTGTGGCATCATATTCATGTGGTGCAAATAATAGTGTGAAAAGAGTTTCTTGGTAAATTATTTTTTAGCAACCCTGTTTCATCAAAAGCATATATTTTAACTCAAATATTATAAAAACCTAAGTCTGAGTATAAGCTGATTTGCTATAATTGGAATAGGCTTATTTCCGTCATTTTACCCCTTTAAAATATGATTCCAGCATTCAAACATCTGTTAAACCATAGCATCTGCTTCATATTTGGGACGCATCCCTACAAATTAGAAGAATGTTCTTTTTAATGAGCTCTGATTTAATAAGGAATCTTTTTTTTATGACTAGAAGAAAATGAGAAGACAAATTCATTTAGCACTGCTCACAGCTAAGTATCCCAAAGGATCACACATTTCTAACAACAACAACAACAAAAAAAAGGTTTATAAAAATAAATATTGCATGTTGAAAGATAAGTATTAACACTAATTTATAAAACTAAGTAAACAATTTATGTTTATATGTATGTGCATGTACACACATAGACAAATTACATAATCAGAAAAATCAGAGGACCCATACACACATTATCATTCAAGGAAAATTGTTACTTCCTTCAAATGTCTAGTCCTAACAAATTTTGCAGTTTAGAAAATTCATGACCTCTGTCTCTTTGTTTACTAAGATTTGTTTACAAGTCCAACTCCAAAAGATCCCTCTTTGTTGGATCTTCACTGTTTCAGTTGTGTGTGAAGTAGTAGTTTACACTGACTCATGCAGTTCTTTTTAGAACAATTCCCTGCTGTCTCCCTAAGTTTTTCTCTGAGTTTTCCAGCCATTCGAAGCCCTCTATTTGAGTCTGAATTTGTCTTACACAAGCAGCACGTCAGCTCAGTGTCAGACAACAATGGGCTGGTTTGTTCCACTGTTTATATACACTACTATTTCAGGCCTTTGTATTTTTATATTTCTAATATGAATCTGGCTAGGCTTTAAAAACCTGATTTAAAGATATTTAAAACTTCCCAATGTTTATGATACAAACTACCATAAAATTTAGAAATTTTTGGAAATCACATGTCATCTCATTAAGCTCAATACATTACTAAGAATATATAAAAGAACTGTATCACCAAAGAGCTCAGAGGAAACTCACTGGAAAAAAAAGCCAGAAAAATAAGAGAATGGGTTTGGTAGAAAAGCTTTTTTATCATTCATTCACTCTGTACTTCGTAATTCATTGCAGGGAAAACTATGTCTATAGTGTCCTGGTGCTGAGAACATTCCTTCCACACGTTCCCTTGAGGCAGAGTGGTCACAGCCTGGCAGAGCAAGCCACTGTGCATGCCCAACAACAACTGCTTCTGGCACCTTCCTACCTGACCCATCACCCACCAAGGGAGGGCTCTGTCTCTTGCAGGCTTTATAAAAACACATTTTTTTAATATTTTCTTAGTGGAATGAGAGCATTTTATATCCACGTCACATCAAAAAGTACAAGTGTTAGATGTTATAAAAATATGCCAGTGAATCCTTCACTTAAAAAACATTAAAACATCAACCTGGTTTAAAAGTAATGCCTTCTAGAAATTTATAGATGGTTGAAGAGAACAGAGAAAAGTAGTAATCCAGTATGTTAGTCAGCTTTTTCTCAAAGTGACTAAAATACTTGACAAGAACAACTTGGGGGAGAACAAGTTTATTTTGGCTCACAGTTCTAGGGTTTAGTCCATGGTCAGCCGAGTCCACTGCTCTACGCCCAAGGTGAGGCAGAACAACACAGTGGAAGGGCATGGTGGAGAAGCAGAGCTCCTCGTGGTAGCCAAAAATTAGAGAGAAGGAAGATGAACCCTTCTAAGACACAACCCCCGTGACCCACCTGTTCCAATCATACCCCACCTGTTTATAATTACGACCCAGTAAGCCCATTCCACTAACAAGGCCCATCCCTCTTATAATCTAATAATTTCACCTCTGAGCATTCCTGCATTAACTCAGGAGCTTTTGCAGGACATCTCACATCCAAACCGTAACACATGGGCTATTCTGTGCTCCACTGGACTTACTTAACTACAGAGACAAAAAAAAAAAAAACCCTTATTTTAAAATATTACCTTTGAAAATAGATTTTGTGATATCTCTGCATAACCTTTCTTAAGCTTAATGACTTCTAGTACTGAAATTYCTTTTTCATAAATTAAAGGTTAACTCTCATTGTTGAAAATTAGATATAACACATTTTATGGTCAAAGGTGAGATGTACAGTTTATGGAACAGTTATAATTATTTTGTGATTTCCACCTCTGCAGATCTTATCTCAATATATTCACAATAACTTGCCTCTGCCAGTTGAAAGAGTGCAGACTTCCCACAGCGTTTTACAGGCTCAGCACCACCCAACTGCGAAGTGTTTGAAGAGATCTATATCGAAAACAATTGACATAAAGAACATTAATTATGATACCAGCATCTTTGCCTTCCATCTATATACATATAAGAAATTTCCTTCGTTTATGGGAATATTATTGCTCCCAAGTACCAAATAACTTTGAACACATCATGTTTGGGATGATCATTTTAAGAACTATTTTACTACTGTCATATATAACTAATTAGAACAAATTGGGGGGGGGGAAGGAACTATTTTGGCAGCTCCAAAATAAAAATAAATGGGGCTGGGGTTATAGTTCAGTGGTACAGCGCCTGCCTAGTGTGTGTGAGGCACCAGGTTCAATTCTCAGCACCACATATAAATAAATAAAATAAAGGTCCATCAACAATTAAAAAAAATAATAAAAACAAACAAAAACAGGTGTCCCTATAGTGCCCATTTAATGACAAGAGTATTATCCTGCACATTCCAGGTTTTAACTCTAGAACCTTAAAAAAGATATGCATTTCCATTTCTGTTTCATTGACTGAGTTTCCAAATTCACCAATAGGCCAAAAATAAAAGAGATTTAGAGTTATTTTGCATTTCAAGCAATTGGCTAATTTTTAAGAAAATATTTGGGATCTTTGTGAAAAGACAGCATCAAGTGAATCAACAGATTTTTTTGAGAATACATGCTAGGCAATAAATATGGTAGGCAATATGACAGGAGCTGAGGAAGCTAAAAGTTTTTTTTATAAACACTGACCCTGGCCATGTTGCAAGTACACTCAAAGACTGATAATCAAGGACAGGAATCCAAGTTGTACAGTTGTACAGACTTATGCTATGTTGTGGAACAGTGATATACATTACATTACATTGACTGCATATTTTTCTGGCAATTTGGTTAAATGGTGTCTGGGCACAGATAAAAAATGAATAGCACTGCCTTATTTTCATATGAAAACTTCATTTTCAATTTCTAGTCTCAGTAAGAGCTGAGAAAGATATATACATTCTTCTCCTGGAGAAGTTCTATCATGGTTAGCTATGGTCTACACTTCCAGGTTCTTTGTGATTCTGAATTCTTTCCCAGCTCAGACAAAGCTGTTTCTCAATTGTTCAGGAAAAAATCCTGCCTGATAAAATATATCCTTACAGGTGACACCCAGGACTCACAGGAGATTCTAGAAGTCCTAGAAGGACTAAGTGCTCACTGCTAGAGCAATTTCTCCCCAAGAAATCCTGCTGAGTAGAGCCTTTGTAGAAGATATATTTAAACATCTACAAAGCCCATCATAAAAGGTAAAGTTTAAGAAAGTCATGAGGACACTTTCTTCCACCAGGTGCAATCGGTTTTAACAGAGGCCTCCCATATTTAATCTGATCATTTGCTTTCCTTTAGAAGATGACTTATGGGGTTCAATCTTTCTGAAGTTTGGAATATTTTACTAATAAAAGTCACTTCTACTTTTTTATATAAGCTACATTCAATTACTTATCATTAGACTGAGAGAAAACAAACTCATTAATTACCACTGACTCTTAGTGACTTTAGGAATGAGGTAGTGAACATAAACGACAGTTCTTTGAATTAAGTTTGTAGAACTAAAGGGAGATGGCCTTAGTTACTTTCTGCTTTCTTTGAATTAAGGTTTTAGAACTGAAGGGAGAYGGCCTTCGTTACTTTCTGCTTTGTGGATTTAATTCAAATAATGAACACTTTTAAGCCTTATTTACTTTACCTTCAATATGTAAACAACACCTGCCCTGTATTACATGAGACAATAAGATTTCATGTTAGTGAGCAGCACAGTGCTGAGGTCATAATTATGCTCTCAATATGAGATACAATTATTAGTACTAATAAGTTATTAAACACTGGTAAATATAAACCCTTTTAGTACAATTCCAAAAGTTGGTTACAAACTGAAATCGAGCAGAGTTAAAAAACGGTAAAGCCTGAGGATACTACTTATATTAGATTTAGTCATTTGTAGAATAATATACTTGCTGCACAATTAAGAATTGCTGAAGGACAGGACAGAGCGGCACTACACAGCCCAAGCTGTTTTTCTAGTTCTTCCACTGGCTCCCTCTGCTGTCGCTTATGTTGCATAGGTCTCTGCTCCAGAGCTGTGTTTGTTTACTACCACATATCTTGTGCTCAATGCAGAGCAAGGCTCTGTGAAGAACTACAGACTACACAGATGCATTATCTGGTCTCCTTCCATTAAAGCACAGCTTCTTGACTTGAGTGGAGGACTGAAATGGATCTTTGCCTTCCAAAAGGAGCTCCCCATGATAATGAGAACAGCTTTTCTCATTGCCTCTGGGAGGATTTTTACCTATTTATAGGTATAGGGCTGGGGTGAGATTTTATGCTTAAGGTTGCTAGAAACATGATTTCCAAAATGGCATGTGGGGGAGGTCCAACACTTCCAGAATCTCCTAACAATAAAATTTTTGTGGAACGACTCAGTGGTATCACACAAAGATGTGTTTCCTAAAAATGTCTTTTAACTTCTTAATTGGGGTGGTAGGTTAGTGGAAAACTGGACAGATGATAATTCTGATGGCTGAATCCTTGCCTGAATTTCTCTGTAGCACCTTGGATTCTATTACTACAGTAGGGTCCTACTTCTCAGGTCACTCTCCTTTGCTAGCTCTTCTCTCTACAGTGTTCTTTAAATGTTGTTTTCCCCTCAGGTCTTTGTATCAGAGCTCTCTTTTTATGTCACACATGTCTACACTAGTAGTTTTGATCTTAGGCACTGCTTGCACAGTGCTGATTTCTCGTATTGCCACTGTTCACCTCTGCTAATAATCTCCTACTTAAGAGACATGTATCCTTTCAGGTAAGAACAACATAGTTAATGTTAGTTTTTCAATGACTGTCCAGCAATGGAGGAAGTTCACGTTTGATGGTAGATGGCATCACTAGAGGGTAATACTGCATAGTTATGTTCATGGCCATGCTTTTCACTTTCCTCAAATTGGATGGTGCTTGCCAGTCTATTAACTCCATTTTAGTCTCTACTTTGACTATTATGTGATAGTCAGATAAACAGTACACATCCATAAAGGTTGGCAAAATGCTGGGTGAAAGAGTACATGAGGTAAGGCAAAGAGCTAAGAAAAATTACCACTCTAGACATTAAATTACTAATTTTATGTTTGCCTAAGGTAGATAAATGCACCAAGGAAACAGGTGGTAATGATCAAAATAAAAGTAGGTAATGGTGGAATTTTTTGCAAGTACAAGGGGTATCATAAACATTGTAACCTTGGAGAAAAATGACTAATAATTGTTGAATGAATTAAAAAATCAAAGAACAAATGTACAATATGAGGACAACTGGTCTTCCTTACCTTTAAAGGAGTATTAACAGTTCCAATAAAATACATAATATGTCTACTAATTAGTTGCAGTGTAAGTATATGATGTTTTTTATGAAGTGTACTATTCCATAACATATTTGGAATTCATGGAAATAAAATGCTTTAAATTTGAACTTAATGTTTATATCCAATTGTGACAAAACCTTAATTTTTTTGAGATTATGCTTGTACTTTTATTGACAGTATCTTCTAAGGAAAGTTTTAATGTCCAGATCTAAATTAGCTCTAAACCATCTAAATTAGCTCTCCGCATCTTTAAAGTAAATATGTAATTTTTCAATGCAAAGATCTACTCTACCACAGAGAAGAGAAGAGAATTCGAATTGGTCATGGCTTTTAGACCTGATAAATAATGGAAAACAATAGCTCCCTCTCTGGCATTGTATTTGGTTATCAGTCTTCAGTAAACCAGATCTAAAAAGTGACTGATGTGTCATTCTACCTGTAAACAACAAAAGATGCAGACAGGGAACTCATTCTGACCAACTTAATGAATCAGAGCCTGGAAACACAGAGTAATAGCAAATTGGATGAGCTGAGATGAATCTGGATGAAATACGGATGTCAATATGGAATGAGAGATGGGCAGAAATGGGATGGGATGCAAGTCTCCCCATTCTGTTATTTCTTTCTAGATCCAATAAAGTAGATATATTATTTTCTTCCCTTTAATGTAAACATTCATAAGGAATATATAAACAAAATGTGCTTTATTGAGTTTCCTGGTTCCATATAGGTTAACTTCAATAGGTTTTAAAACTATGGTTAAGGAAAAAAAATATCCTTCTTTATGTGAAATAAAACACACACACACACACACACACACACACACACACACACACACACACCAAAAAAAAAAAAAACTATTTCAACCCAAAGAAGTGCCCAGGGCTTATTGGTTTTTAAAAAGTAGGTTTCTTGGACAAATATATTACACAATAAATAACCCATTTCTAAGAGATTGTATAGAGAAATCTCTCTTAAGAGTTTGTATATGAAATTAGCAGGAATGGTTTCAAACGATTTTGGATGCCTGGTTTAAAAATAACATTAAAAAATAAGTACATTAAAAGATCTAATTGAGGGGCTGGGGTTGTGGCTCAGCAGTAGAGCACTGGCCTTGCACATGTGAGGTCTTGGGTTCGATCCTCAGTACCACATTAAAAAAAAATTTTTAAAGACCTAATTGATTCCTAAGCTATATGAACATTCATTTCTAACTAAGTAATAATCTACCAAATCCCTCTGAAAAGGGATGGGTATAAAGTGGTCCACTGGACAATTTAATTACATACTCATCCCTTCCTCTTTTCCATCCCTTCCCCAATGAGGCCATACAGATATAGTAGAGTGTCAAAACAATCATAATTTAGTAATTTGGGGATTAAAAAAAGATAACTAGAGGTAAGTGTCTTAAATTGTGGTTTCCTAAAAGAAAACCTGATGGCATACTCTCAGGCCCACACTTCCACTGATAAATCAAAATTCTGGGAGTGAGGTTCACCTAGCCTTCTAGGTGACACTGATATACTTTAAAGTTTGTAAAGTTTTGCTACAAAATAATTAGAACAAGAATTTCATGAGGTTTTTCTGTTTGTCAAAGGTGATGGTGTATCATGAGATATTAAGAGCTTTAGGTATATCATCATAGTAATTATAGCCCATTTTGTTTCTACTGCAATATACATGCTCATGGCAGATTTCAGTAGATAATTTTATTAGTTCACCTAGCTTTTTTTTGGAGSGGGGAGTACTGGGGATTGAACTTGAGCACTTGAGCACTGAGCCACACTCCTAGTCCTACTTTATATTTTATTTAGAGACAGGGTCTCTCCATTGCTGAGGATGGCTTTGAATTGAGATCCTCCTGTCTCAGCCTCCCAAGCCCCTGGGAATACAGGTGTGTGCCACCACGCCCAGCTAGTTAGTTCTTTTTAACTTTAAATAAACCAGCCCAGTATTGGGCTGACAGAAGGTCAGATCAAGATTGAAACTTAGGCTTCTCTTTGTCATAAGAGGAAAATGACTAGACATATTATATATCCTTACAGTATCATGAACTTCTCTTACATGACACATATAACATTTAAAACTAACAAAAGATGCCATAATTTATTTAATTTGCTTAGAAATTGAAAGGGCTTATATCATCAACCTATGCAAAATATAACTAGGAAAAGTAATACCCTTAGAGTTGAGAATAGGGAATTGCATTGAATTCTAGAACATAATAGAAAACACTTTTTTACATTATCCATATTATTTTGGGTTTTCCATGATGCATGCCTTCCTATGTTACAAATCATTGAAACAGCTCCTAATAAGTTTTCAAATAAACAATATTATTAAACTTCTTCAAATCCTACATATTCTTCTTGTCAAAAACCAAAAGCCCTCAGAGGCAAGTGCTCTTGATCAGTGGGACAACTCTCAGACGTCAAATAAGTTCTTTTCTTCCTTAGAAAATAAACTTAATAAAATTAAGAGACAAGGAACGAATCCTCTAGTCTTCTGAAGAGTGTGCTAAGCAGCAAAGACGAATTACTTTAAGAGAGGTACAGAATCTTTTTCTGCAGAATCACAAGATAGTGCCTGTATAATATCAAAGTAGGCCCTTGGAACTGCTGCAGGGCTTCAGGGGCTCCTAATGAATCTGATGATGGAATATCTTTTAAATAACAACTAATCATGCTGTGGACACCAACCAAGACCAGCTCAGATATGTCACATTGACATTTTACATTAAGTTGAATACCCTTGGTAGTTAATGCATATGCAAATATCACGTGTGTCAAAGTTGAGCCACTATACCTTTCTAATATTCATGCTGTAGAATGGAGAATTTAATCAAACAGAATACATGGCAAATTCTGTTTTCAAGAAAATGTTTCTGAAAAGTTGGATGGGAATAGCTCAGTTATCAATATTAAAAATAACCTTAGTCAACATGCCAAAATTCTTTTTTAACTCTTTAAAAACTTATTAAGAACAGACTAATGGGTGTTGACAACCAGAGAAAAAGATGTGCTATTAAACAAAACCATTTTCCCATACACCGAAAACAACAGCCTATTTATCAGAATGGAAAATTATAATAAAATACTAATTTATTCAGATTCATCAAGCAAATTGTTCTTTATGAAATGATAACATCGTGTATTTTTGTCACCAGTTGTAAACAATAGCCCTCAGCAACTAAAGTGAATACTGTGGCAAAGAAGCCTAACACATAAGCAGCCTACTGCTGACACAAAGTCACAGTGGTTAATACAAGCATCCCAAGAGGAAGTAGCATTTTGGCGGGGAAGAGGGTAGACGAAAGCTTAGAGTAATTTTTTTCTCTTTTTTCAAAGGAAGATGCTAGATTTTCTCCTGCCAAAAGGATATCATTTTACATTTCATTTATGCAGTCCTCTTTATTCAAATGAATCACAGTAATTCAATACATCAATATTAAATAGAACAGTCCTGCTTCTCATTCTCTCAATCCTATTAAAAATTGCTTACTTTCTGATATGCATTTTTTGTTGGAATAAAAAGGCAAAATGAGAAAGACCTAAAGCAGGCAGCATCTTATTTTCATAAACTGTATGAGATTTATTATTTGTCACACAGTGCTCAACAGGATCGAGCATATGGTTGAGGCCAGGGTTCTGTGGCAAAATCAAGCATATCAGATCTGCTTCCTCAGATTATCAACAAGAAAGTATTCTCTAGCATGTGCTCTGTCTGGCTGACAAACTGAAGAAATCTGAGATCCTGCAAGAGCTAACTTGATCAAAGTCGGGGATTAAACACTAATAAAAACACTGGCTGCAGCTACATCATACCGAAAGCTAAGTACTGATGATTTAACAGGTCATATTCACCACTACATCTGCTTTGAGAACGTTATTCATGAATTATAGCACCTAATTTCACTACTGGAAACATTTAACAAATCGGAATCTTCTGGCCTTCATGTTGACAGCAGTTTTTCTAAGCTTTTAAAATAAATTAAAAACAAGGTAAAATAAAATAAATGGATTACTGGTAAGTGCCTATTCTGAATGAGCTTAATGAATGTTTATAAAATGGGTATAAAATATGAAACTGACTCAACTATGATTATACCAAAGGCAGCAAAGAGCCATAAATATCTGTGTATTACATTAATAATGGCAACAGCCATGCTTAAAGTTGACTATACATTATTAAAATTCCATTTCAGTAGTTTCTAAGATAAATATGTTTTCTGAGGGCAATAAACATTTAAAAAAAAAAGAAAGCTTTACCTCTGCAAACTGAAACAAGGCTGATGCTTGACACTGTTTTGTAGGAGCATCAGGGTGGGATGTACTTGAAGATATCTGAAAGGAAACAAGTTGTTTTTAATGTACAAGGACATTTTCCCATATCAGACTGTTAGATTTTGTCATATATTTCCACTGCAGACACTTATAAAGATTAAGACATGAATCATCACTTTCAATCCCTTTTAGAAGAACAGTATAAATGATAACAGAAGACAAAGGCCATGTTTCTAAAAACAAATGGTTGGAAAGAACCAAATGACAAAAGAGTTTGGCTTAGTTGCCATGTCCCTTGTAAAGATATCAGGTATGTATCAAACAGCAGTTAAGGAGACCTACTGAAATGAATTTTTATTTCTATGATTTTCAAAGAATATATTATTAAAAGCTGGAGACTGCAAGGAAAGCCAGTCACTTTCTCTCACCTCTACATTATTCCCTGCAAGCTGCTTTCTGCAGAGAAGCAGCTGTAAACCTGTTGGAGCACATGGATGTGGGTCAGGGTATCTGGGATTGAATCTTAGCTGTTACTCACCAGCTACATGACCCAAGGCAGTTCAGCTAAACTTGTTTTTCCCAACTATAAATTAATGATGGTGATAATTTCTTTTTTAATGACTACTGATTATGGTGAGAAAAATGTAAGCCATAAAGTAGATAGGCCATAAAATACACAGCCTGGGGCAGCATCACAACTTAGAAGTTGCTCACTAAATATGAAAAGCATTTTCTTTCTTTCAGAACACCTGCATCCTTCCACTCAACACAAACAAAACATGCTTTTGTGTCTAACAATAGATAGAAGATTCTGTCACACAACACTTGATGTTTAACGGAAAACTTTCATTTCCATTGTGTAATCATGGAAGCCTCTCTCAAACTTTGCTGAAAGCCATGTAGAAATACTTTCAAGGACTTTGAGAGCAAGACAGTTACTAATTTTTGTCCCAATGTGAATAAACCTTCTCTTCTGCTACAAAACAGGTYGAAAGTGAGTCACAAGAGCAGAAACCTTGGATATTGTAACTTCAGCCCATTCCCAGTTCCGCTAAAGCTTGCTTTCTTTATTAGTAACTGTGTTCACCAATTCCATGGAAAGGTCCTTACTAAGCAATGAATGAAGCTCAACCACAAAGTAACTTCTAGAAAACTTAGGAAAATGGGTAAAATATAGCACCACAGTGATATTTAGGGATGAGAAAGGATTAAGAGAAAGATTGAAATTATTGGTTTTATTAATTGTTGAAGACATTACATTAGGAAAATTTCAATTCTACTGTATTTTTGAATCAAATAAGAATTTTTAGAATAAATCTCAATAAGAAGGAAAAAACAAATAAACCAGATCCTCTTCAGCACTCTAAATATAAACCAACCATGTGAATGGATAAAATTAAATCAAATGTTTTGAAGACATCGAAGGGTAAAATTTTAGAACTTTTTCTTGTTCAGACCTTACTGTGTTTGTTCAAACCACAAACACAGAACTCTCCAATGAATACCATGGGTAAGTGTGGTAGACTGCAAATATGAATCTACAGGATTTTCCTGAAGTCTTGGAAATTACAACCTCAGTAGGTCTTACTTCAGATATTACTTTTCATCTCTATTAACCCTCTACAAAACTTAGAAAAAAATAAAGTTTATATAAAAGGAAAAGCCTAACCTACAATACATTTCTTCAAGAATTAAATCGGTCAGTGAAAAAAAAAAACTGAATCAGTGCTATAATCCACCTTGTTTTCTGAAAAGCATTTCATGAGTTCCAAGCAAAAGGATATTTTTAAAAATTAATGTTGCAATAAGAAAAGATTTTAATTAATGACAYGAATAGGAATGCCTAAAATGCCTGAAGAAATATTTGACCAGGGACCTTTTAAATAGAAGCAATAGTATCAGAAATCTCATTGGAATCTTAAGTATGCTGGAGAGATGATAAAAATGTTCATACATTAATGTGTCCAAAGTTTCATAGGAATTTTTAGAGATTTCACAAGATCTTTAGGGTTCAGGGATCATTCGCTAAGAATCTCTGCTCTCAAAGTTGGGCCCAACTTCATCTAACACATCTACAACTACAATTGAAAGAGACTACATAAAAACTAGGTTATGTTAGCAATTGGGGTGGGGGTAACCAGGGCTGAACTCAAGGGCACTCAACTACTGAGCATATCCCTAGTCCTATTTTATATTTTATTTAGAGACAGGGTCTCACTGAGTTGCTTAGTGCCTCACCATTGCTGAGGTGAGGCACTGGCTTTAAACTTGAAATACTCCTATTTCAGCCTCCCTAGCCACTGGGATTACAGGCATGAACCACTGCACCTGTGTGTTACATTAACTCTTATGGAAACAATGTGCAAAACAATTGGAATTCATGGAAGAGCTCACAGAGGCAGAAAAGTGACAGATAAGGAGTCTTTGCAGCAAATATGTCTAACATTCTAGTGATCCCAGGAAGGCATTCAGGAATATTCGGCCTGCTGTGACAGTGTCAAAAATACTTCTTTGAACTACAATATGTTCTCCATGTATAAAACTGTGGCAGGATGGGCAAATGCCAGGAAGGATGAGATAGAGAATGTCTAAGGAAAGACAATTCAAATGATCAAGGGAAGATCAGGTGGTTTAAAGTTTGGGGTAGGGGGATCAACTGGAACTGATATAGGGTTCTAGGCTAAATAAAGATATTTTAGGAAGCAGTTTTAACCTATAAGCTTGCTATCAAGGATAATGTATTTTTTAACATCATCTCTTTGAACCAGTGTCAAAGGCATTTTAAGAGAACAGGCCCAACTCATAAAATAACACTTTGAAAACTACCAACCTTGTGCTACAGTTTCAAGTAAGAGAAACTAAAGACTTAAGACAGGGTTGGGGGCAGGTTTGGGAGGGCTTAGGCAAAAGCCATGAGTTGATTCAGTCTTCTAATTAATCCAATCAGTGACTTACATTTAATAACTAATTAAATTCATAAGTTTAAAATCCATGAATACAATTTAGTAATAAGGTTTAAGTGTAATAATACTTAGTTGTGACTTTAAAAAAGAAAACTTATATAAAACTCATAATTATTCCTTAACTAAGAGCTCTGGAGTTCCAAATATCTTTTAGAAGATTTGGTTCAATTTTCCCATTTATGGTTAACTGACTTCATTAATTTGATTCACTGTCATCTGTACAAGTTGAAACTTGTTTACAATTTCTTTATTAATTAAGTATAAACTGCAGCATATTACCTCAGCAAACTGAAACAATGGTGACTTCTGACGCAATTCAGGGGATTCTGAAACATCAGGCCTGCAAGTACCAGAGGACATCTGAAACAAAGAAAGACAGCATGAAGTTTACAGGAATGATATGAGGAGGCAGATGCCACTTAAAACATTCCTATGCTGAGGAAAGAACAGTTTTATTCCCCCAATTTAAGGTAACACTGTAATAAAAGTGCAGTTATTATGTACAGTTTTACACAAGTAGCCATTCTACTGCTAAATAAAACCAGAAATAGTAAGAGAGACACAGTACTTCACCCAAGAAAATATTTAAAAAGATGTCCCTTTGATCGCTTGGTTTTCTGCCATCAAACCCAAAGAATCTACTTCTTTCATGTTCTGTGTTTCCTCAGTATTTTCTATCACTTGACTGCATGAAAACATAAATGAGATCTGACAGTGTAACTCTTCTGGAAAAAAAAGCTAAAGTTAAATTCTTGTTTTCTCAGGATTTCATGTATTTACAACACAAAACCTAATCTTAAGAAGATTAGAATTTAAATCAGAGAAATTTCTCTTATGATATATATTTTCTTTCCTATAATTTACTATGTTAGGTAAACATCTAACACTTAGATATTTCTTTTCTATGTTACTAATAAGTCTTCAAAACACTACTCTAAACAATTCTATTAATCAAATATTCATCTCAGAATATACATTTCCTGCTGGGTATGGTGGCACATACCTGTAATCCTAGCTACTCAATAGGATCACAAGTTCTTAAGCCAGCCTCAGCAATTTAGTGAGACCCTGTCTTAAAAAGTAAAGTAAAATAAAATAAAACAGGCTGGGATGTAGCTCAGTGGTTAAGTGCCTCTGGATTTAATCCTCAGTACCAAACAATAAAGATTTCCTTTCTCTCTCACTCAAAGAATTAACTCATTTCTGAATTTGAGTCACACAATCGCTTAGGTAATCAGCTGCCATATGAATTACAAAATGTTAGGACAGAAAGGATTTAATTATTCCTCTGATCTAAGCCCCTCTTCTCATTTTAAAGATGAACTGAGGATCAGAAAGAGAAGTGACACTGGTCTTCCCCAGCACTTAATAATCCCCCTTTAGCAGTTATCACAAGACATCAATATTTGTTTATTGTATATCTCCTCCCAGGACTTCTGTTTACTGCATCTTCCCCAACACTATGCACAACATAGATATTCAACAAGTATTTAATGAATGAACTTATGAAAGTTGACAAGAGCTCTTCTAAATCCCAGATTGATGTGTTGTCTCCCTACTTTCCTGAACGATGAAGTCAGGTTGTGTAGGGAAAATAGTTACTTTTCATGTTAAAGGAAAAAATACAAAAAAAGTTACTGTCCATTTGATCTCTTTGCTTTTTGCTACCAAACCCAAATAAAATCTACTTCTTTCACATATTTTTCATGGTTTGTTTTCTGACTACAAAATAATCCAAATTTATTGTAAAACTCTGAAAAAAGGAAAACAAAAAAGAAAAGATTCCTACCCAATGTTACTTTCCAAATATAAATACTGTTAAAATTCCATATATATTCTTCAAGTTGAGGATGTAGGTAATTTTTACATAAAATAGGATATTATACTACAGTTAGAATGTTCTTTTATAATCTTAATAATAATTTTCCTGAAGTCTAAATCTTTTCTAATTTAATTTTAATAGTTGYAATAGTGATCAAATTAGATGCTTAAACTCTATGGAAATAGTTGCCAGCCAACTAGATTATGCTCCTAAAAAAAGTTTCTTGCTGAATCTCATCATTAAACATTGGGGTAGCAGTATCATAGGCCATTAAAGCAGGAGCAAACATTAAAAAATTTATTTGTCACTTTGGGATTTTTTAAAGAGTAATGGTCACCTTCTCCCAAGCACCATGGAGAAGGTACAGAATCTTTATTTAATCTGCCACCCAAGGTTTGGCTGTAAAGCCTGACCTGCTTATTGCCACTTGATTATTTGGCATGTTGTGCCAAATATCCAACCAAAGAAACACAAACTCCACTAAAAAGAAAGCCAATAAATTCTGAAATTAGTATCCACAAAAGTTTGGGTATTTCATCAAAATGTCTCTTCACAATTTAGGAATTAAAAAATATCAACACTTTCCTGGCTTAGTAAGAAATCATATGTGTTTGGATCCTGAATACTTGGCAAAGAATCAAAATGTGTTTTAAAACCAAGCCTGTAATTTAATGAAAAGCATAAAGTATCTTCATAAAACTTTACTAAACTAGGTTATGCATGTGACAGAAATCTAGAAAAGGTACTTGGAATAAAATGTCATTTACAGCAACTACACACATAAAGCCTACATAACATATTATATGCATGGGTTGCTTGACACCAGGGTTTTGTTCTGAGAACTGCATCATTCAGACTATGTCACTGTATACACATCACAACACAGAATAAGATAGGCTTCACTATCATTRGGCAATAGTTGTATGGGGTCACCATTTGTATATGCAATCCATCACTGACTGCAATGTCATTACATCATTATACAGTGTGTGACTGCATTCTTGTTTCAAATTCTATGAAGCATGAGAAACAGTTACCATTTATGCAGAAATAAATTGCCCTATGGCTTACAGTTCATATTAACAGTAAGTAGAAAATTTAACTTTCTTTTAAGTGTCATTTATAGATTGCATTTGCTTACATAATAAATCAAGCCAAAGTTTAAAAGTTAAATAATATCCTTTGAAAATCTTCAGGATGGATGGTCTTAAATAAATAAAATTTCCTATTTGAATGGAAGATTTAGATGCAAGTAATTATCAAGGTATCTGTAACCCCACACATGAAAGAAGTCTATGCATGTTCATGCTCACCATGCATTAGACAGAGCAGATACACAATGATCTGGTTGCCCGACTTGATTTTTGGCGTGTGTGTGAATATGAAGAATCTCAGGGACTGACTGAAACAGATAGTACAACAAAAGCTGTCCAATGAGTAACTGAGCAGGAATTGAAACACTAAAACTGTGCACTTTAATCTAGTAAATCATGCACTCTTAAAATCTAGCTATTTTTACCATAAAGCATTGTGGATTTAACATGTATCTTCAATATAGTATAAAGGAAACAGAACAAAATTTAAACAGAACAATATTTAGGAGTCAAGAGAATGGGATCCTCCTAAGCTATGTTACCTGACCTGTGTACCTGACTTGTTTACTTGACTCTAGTCCATAGAAGAATAGAAGCAGCAAATCAGAAAGGACCAAGAGTAGAGACTAGAAAAAAGGAGAAGGTTGTAAAAGGAAGAAACAATGTCAGCAGGAGGAGACAGAGAGATAAGACAGAGAAACTAAAGCACAGTAGTTTATCTAAAACAAGTTATGGCAAATAGCCCTAAAATTTATGCTGAAGGCATCCATTCAATGCAGTAATTTATATGTTTAGCTATGATTCTAAAATTACAAAATATATTTTTATTGAAAAGGCAGAAATTTCTATCTAAAATCCCAAAATGTAAAAATGGTTTAATGGAAATTGCAATATGTAGGATTCATTCTTGAGCACTTCACAAATAAGGAAACAATAAAGGTGTGTTTATTTGTGCATATAGTAATAATATGTGCTTGATAATACGGAATCCTATGTTTAAGAAAAGGATAGAATATTTCCACAAAGGGCTTCTATTTGGATAACAGCATTAGTCAAAGAGTACCAGACCTTATGAAATGTATAAAATATTGTGCTGTACTATGTTGCCTTGCTGTTTGCATTTAAAATACTTTAAACTATCTATTTTTGCTAAGTGGGGCACACTTTTCATGGAAAAAACACCAATTCTTCAACACCCATTCCTATGCTAGAAAAGGCTTACTTCCTAAATGTAACAGAATATACAGAGTTAAAGAAGAGGAAAGAAAACATACTAAATGAACAGTGGTTTAATAAAATAAGTGTGTGTGGGGGGTGGGGAGGACGGAGAAGCTGTCTCTAGAAATAAACCCTGAAATAATCCATAGAACCACTAGGTGATGCTATATGCCCAAAAATAAAACAGCTAAAGGAATTTTTGTTAATCACATAACTTCCCTTAAATTCAATCCTTCCTTTGATTTAGCTATAATTCTCAATAACCAAGGAAGGAAAATTATTAGTATAATTAAGAATTATGAGGTAGCAATATCTTTTCCACAAGAGCAATTTAGATAGTGAAAATTATAAGCAAAGAAAAGTGATCCAGCTTCCCAATATGAAAAAAAAAGATCAAGCCAGTTATGCACTGTAAGTGACTTGGGAAGTAAGAATTATCTAGGGCCCATTCCTACTTTGCAGGGCACAAGACCACAGTGACACAATGCTTGGTACTGTGGCAAACACAAGTCAATTAAAAAGGCATGTACATATTGTAGCTCAGCCATATAGTCCTCCTCTTGCCAACTCAAACGTTTATTTATTACTCACTCATTGAATAAATATACAAAGACAACTGCTTTTAAGAAGTTTAAATTCCACTTGATTCCAGCATATGCTGGGGAATAAAATAAGGACTATGAAACTGTGCTAAAGAGTTGTCCTTGAACTGTCAGGTGGAATCTTTTACGCCTAAACTGTCTTTTCTCCTGAAAGACACTCCCTGTTCTTGCCCAAGCCTTCTCTCAAATTCCCTCCTTCAGCTTTAACWCACTTGATTCAAGTGCAAGGGTCAGCTGCATTATATAAATGCATAATGATGAAATATCACGGGCTATGGGAAAACAAACAGCCTTTACAGTTGGAAGGAGTTAAGTAGTATCTCACATACATCTAGAAGGAAAGCCAGAATTTCTCTCACAAGAAGCATACATATAATGTAGTAATAGCTAGGAAAATATGGAAGTAAATATGTACTGTGTTTTGAAACAGTGACTATCTCAGAGTGGTTAAAGAGTAAGATGCCATGGAAATATAGAGGGAAAGGAATCAGATTGACAAAAACTGGAATTACTGTGTTAAGAAGTATGAAAATTAGGCTAAATGAAATGGGAGACTTGCAAGACTTTAAGTGGGAGAACAGCATGAGGAGAGATGTGTAGGTAGGTAATTATGTCAGTGGTGTG